TATGCCCCTTCGTTCTCCGATTAAATCCTTTTATTTAACCCCATTCCTGCTTTCGTCCGCCTGTTTCCCTGGTCCGTGTTTTACGTGCGATGACAGAATGACAGAACTCGAAAAGAAGACGCCGACCTTGACCGAGGATCAATACCTCGATCTGGTTAATGAGACTCTGCATTGGCTTGAGCGGTCGGAGGTAAGGGAGGACCCCCTGCTGCAAGCCCTTGCTATCCGGGCGAGGGATACCCGGTGCGTGAGGACCTGCGGCGGCTGAGACGTGGGGTTGCAGAGGCTAATATGAGGCAAGTAGCCACCGACTGCGGCATGCCTTTTGGTCTCCTGTCCCCACTTCCTGAGGTGCCCCAGACTGTGCAACCCGTGGCAGCAAGCAGAAGGAAGAGGCGGAGGAGCCGGAAAAAGAAAGACGCGACAGAGTCTTCCTGGGGACAGTTTTGCTCTCCACCGCCTGCTTTGCTGCGTGTCGGGAGGACCCGCCCCCGATTCTGAACCCGACGGTGTTCGCTCCAGAGATGACCGTTGCCACCATCTCACAGCAGCCGCTCGCTGCTTCGCTGCCCTCAATAGCAGCGCACCCCTTCTCCGGGACTCGCCTGGCCCTTAAAGGGGCCAGGTCCATTTGGGACGCTATACCGCGGATTCCGCGGTTTCGGAGGCGGGCGGTGCCCCCCGTGGTTCTCGTGCCTGCAGCTGCTTCTCCAGTGACTCTTGTGCCTGCAGCTCCGCCCGCCGAGGCGCCCCCTGCTGTCGCCACCACGCCCGAGGTGCACGCAGAGGCGCCTCCTGCTGGCCGCACGCCCGAGGCCCTGGTCTGCCAGACTGACGCCAGACTGACGCTCCTCTCTCCATAGTGGAGACTGAGGAGGAACTAGAGTAGGATCCCTCGGATCTTCTTGACTCCTCCCATGATATTCCCTGTGACTCCTTCCGTGCTTTCCCCAGTGACTTCCCCCTTGACCTCTCCAGTGACTCCTCCACCCTTGCCCCAGAGCAGCAAGTCCCGGCCAGGTCCACCCGAAAAGGGAGAGGACACCGGTGCCGTGGTCGGGTCCCGCCCGCCCTACCCCCTGGCTCGCCTTTGGTTCCCCTAGCCGTGGCTCGGCTCTCGCCTGCGGGTCCTCGGGCTCCTGCTCGGCAGTCGCCTGTGGGCCCCCTGGCTTCGGCTCGAAGGTCGCCTCCGGTTCCGCCTTCGGTGCCCCGTCGACTGGCTGCTGTCCCGCCTCCGGTGCTTCGTCGGTCGCCTGCGGGTCCCCCATCTCCGGTTCGGCGGTCGCCTGCGCCTTCGTCTGCCGCGGCTGCTGCTCCCTTCTCCCCTTTGCCTGGGTCCCCTTCTCCCTCCTTGCCCCGTCCGTCCGTCCCTCTGCCCTCCTCCTCGCCACCTGTGGCGTTTCCTCCGGCTCCCCCCTCACGCTCGCCTAGGGTCCCTTCGGCTTCGGCCTCGCGGTCGCCTGCTGCCCCTGCGGCTTCCGCCCCTCGCCTGCCTGGGTTCCCTGCGGCTCCCCATTTCCCCCTGCCCTTCTCCTCTGTGCCCCCTGCCTTTGTGCCTCCTGTGTTTGTCCCCGGTCCCTCTGTGCCTTTCGGTCCTTTTGTGTCCCCTGTGTCTGCTCCTTGTCCTCCTGTTTCTCCTTCGTTCGCTTCTGGCCCCTTTGTTCCTCCCGTTGGTGTTCCCCCTGTGTCTCCTGTGTTGTTGCCCCTGTGCTTGTTGGCTTTTCCTGTGGTTTGTCGTTTGTTGTCTGAGTTCCTGTCTTTATGTCTGTTCTGTGTGTCTGTCTTGTGCCCTGTGTCTGGTTGAATTTTTTTTTTGCTTTTTGTTTTCCAGGTCCTGTGTCCCAGGTTCTGCCGCTCCCCTGGGGCACGCCCGGTATGCGCGCCTTTGGGGGGGGGGTTCTGTCACACCCCGATCGTGCTGATCCACCTGTGCCACGCCCCCATCGTTAACCTCATGTCGATTCCCAGTGTTTCACGACTGTTTTCAATTGTCTGTATTAGTTCGATGTATTTAAGTCCACGTCAGAGTTTGTTTCCCTAGTTCTGTCATTGTAGTGTAGTCGTTTAGTTCCGTGTTGTTGTTTTCCCTGTTATGCCCCTTCGTTCTCCGATTAAATCCTTTTATTTAACCCCATTCCTGCTTTCGTCCGCCTGTTTCCCTGGTCCGTGTTTTACGTGCGATGACAAGAGGAAAAAGGAATAATGAGACAATAAATACTAATTCTTTGCATTTCAGGAAAACGCTGAGGTATGTTTATAGTGTAAAAAAAACGGCGAATACAGTGAGAAACGAAACACTGTGTATACATTTAGAGTTTTCATCCTTTTCACAATTAGCACTGACGGATTAGTTACCATGGCAACCGTTTGTGAATCGTTTATACAATTTTTAAGGTTTTAACCAAGTGTTCATACTTTAGGATTCGTTTTGCATTTTAAAGCAAATGAAATTAAAGGTCCGTCAGGTAAGTTATAGAAACAAAACGTGAAGTATTGCGTCTCCTGATATTTAATCCTGATATAAGGCGTTTTCTTGATACAGCCTGCACATGAAGTGAGATATATGCGCATGTGTGTTACTGTATCAGTGTGTCTTTATGTCTGAATTAATCACTGTTCCATATTTCCCCCTTAAACGAATGTCTCCACAGAAATGTTCTAAGTAGCAATAAAAGCCCGTTTTAGTTGGCTAGTCCTGTCTTTGCAGTTAAAATTATGGTGCTGGTAACAGTGAAGGCCAATCAACTAACGAGTAATGCACGAAGCGGACCGTCAGGAGACAGCAATCGCACTATTCTTTATATAATTTGACAGAGAACGCTGACATGTGTGGAGGGACGATAAATCAAGAAGGCACTTTAAGATACTGTAAATTCTTATGCAGAATTTCACTCTAGAAAAATAATTTCATCCCGTTTTAATAAAACAGATGATATCGATCGCTCCGTATACCATTATTTCTTTACACGATATACCCCACAAATGCGGGCGTGTTTAAATTACTATAGTAATGTAAACGTCAAGTGGTAAATCGTTAACATAATCCAAAAACAGACATTAAAGACAAATTATTTTCGCATATATCCACTTTTACTTCTATACTAAAAATGCTCTTTTATTTTTTTCTTCTTTCAGCGTAGGCAAGGTAGTTACCAGCGTCAGTGACCCGACTCAGCGAAGAGAAAAGAATGCTTGTGTGAAGCAGAAATATGGAATTAAAAATGAATAAGAGCCGTATTAATGTTTTCGGTGTTTTTTTTTTTTTTTTTTTTTTTTTTGTGAATATGTGAGACAAAATGTCCTGAAGTGTGTTCCTAGCATCACCATGGGTTCTGTCAAACCATATTTGACAGCACGGTGCGTTTCACGATTGACCACGGAAAATCTTAAAGATTAATTATACAATTTTGTTATTAGTGTTATTNAAGAGAAAAGAATGCTTGTGTGAAGCAGAAATATGGAATTAAAAATGAATAAGAGCCGTATTAATGTTTTCGGTGTTTTTTTTTTTTTTTTTTTTTTGAGGATGTGAAAGAGTGAGACTGAGGCGCATATAGCATGGAGTGGGAACGTTGCTGCGTTCTGTCAAACCATATTTGACAGCACGGTGCGTTTCACGATTGACCACGGAAAATCTTAAAGATTAATTATACAATTTTGTTATTAGTGTTATTCTTAATACTGAGAAATGTGCGTTCACCATCTATAATTCACACAAAGAATACAGAAGGCAACATCCAGGTAAGACCTCACTTTTACATTCTTGGGTTCTTTGCTGCGACACAATGAAACGAAATGAAATCTATTTCTGTTATAGAGAATAACATTTTTATTTCCCCACGATACCGCAGAAAATGAAAACGGGTGCTACCACAGTTGTACACATCTGACGTTAACTTGATTGTACATGGATACTCATATTTATACACAGCTAATATACTGCTTAAACGCCATATGCGGTTTTTTTTTAAATAAATCTAATTCTTTGTTTCCGTAAACGATCAGGTTACTACAGACAGAAAATTTTACTTAGAAAATCCTTTTGGGTATCTCTATTATGAGTGCTTGATTGATTTCCCGAAGGTTCATGATTGTACTGAATGTCCACTGTAGACACACTGACATGTAATGCCTTATTGACTATTAATGAACAAGGCTATGATTTAACAACAAATGCACTAATGCAGAACACTTAATGCACCGTTATGATGCATTACCACGACGAAATTACACCACTACGTCCAACCACATGCAAATGTATAAAAAATGATAATTTTTCAGTAATTTCATCCACATTAATAAGACGCAATGACCTGTCCATTTACATACTGCTATAAAGGACGCAAACCCTGTCGATTGTTTATTACCAATTGCATCTGTATAATATTTTGTGATTAATGCTGTTGTATCTCAGATATCTGGGATTTGCAAATTTATGCAAGATATCATAGATCTTCGTCCTGCTTCTGTGTTTTTTCCATCCCACTCCTAACCTAATATTTTTTTTACTCAATTTTTTTTTTGTGGCCTCTTCTTTATTAAAAATGTTCCTTGCTCCTATCTCACAGTATGGAGTTATGGGCACTTTCAGTGCAGGATTATTATTTTGTTAGAAGCTATCTTTGTAGTCAGAGCTTAAAAAATCATATTTTTTTCTGCAGAACCTAAGAAATACAGTTGACAGGCATAGTGTAACAAGAGTACCCAACCTTTGCAATCCCTTAACCACCAACGCTAATTTGGATTATTTATAAGGATTTTCAGTTCTGGATGGAAATGGAGAAGGAATCAGAGAGGTGGTGAGATGGATAAAGATGATAGGGCGTTATATTATGAGGTAAAGGGAATGGTTTTCAAGAGACGATGAAATGGTGAAACTTGACAGAACAAGAAAAATGTGTTTTAGAGGGAAACAGTGATCGGAAAAATGGATGATTCTTTCTCAGTGCTGCATTGCTATTCCAAGAGAGCTGCTACCACCCACGCACAGACG